TAACATTTAGCAATTCCTAGTAAAAGTATTTACTATGGTATTCGAATAAGAAATATACTATTATTATCTTATTAGAAATCTTGACCGTTATGAATTGTTCGCGTAGAGGTTTCTTGATTCTACTTTTTTATCAATTGAAACATAAAAAGTTACTGTTCTTGTAACTTAGATCATTCAAAAACATTACGTAGTAAAGATAAATAACATTACTTACAGTTTTTTGAAAGAAAATCCAACTAAAATCACAATCACAAAACTTCAATGATTACGCAACTAACAGCACCAACAGCACAAAAGCCAATGGCTGTTATATTTGATTTTGTCTATGTAACCGAGTGAATATAATTCTTCAGAATACTCTTTAGTTCGTTCAGAATCGAATGAAATAGTGTTCAATTGAAAATATACTGTATTTTTATATCAATTAATGAAGAAAATAGCAGCACGTAATGCGGACATGAATTCATGTCCGCGGTACTCAACGTGGAGATGAATTCATGTCCACGGTACCTTAAAGGAATTTGAGTAATGTTCGAGTAGAATAAAGTTAATCGTTCGACTATTTTTTCTTGTAAACTTGTAAGAATAAGTATAAAAGCCAATCTAGTGTTATCCAGAGTTTTCCTTTAATTTTATTTATATGCGTATTAAAAGCAGAAGGGGATGCATTCGCCCAGCAGTGGGACGCTATAGGCTAGATTAAATTAGATGTGTCCCACTACGCTGGATTTTTGCAATGACAGTAGATTTTTATGTACCAATGGTAGAAGGGGGCATTACCATATCTCTAATACAGCTGAGACCAGCTGAGGGTTCTTCATCAGATACTTTAGACCTTTGATTTTTGACATCAAATGAAGCGGCCCACCAAGTTGAATATTTTTTTTGTAAAGGCTGTATGTCGATCTCTTCTAATAGTTTGTTTGGGCTCTTGTGTTTTCTAATCAGGGTCACCAGGTACTCCAGATGTTCGATTATCCTAGTTTTTATAGTTTTCCCTTTATGTGGCCATTAAACCCTAACTCTCTACCAAATTTCAGCTCTCTGAGTTTATGGGAAGTACTAGTTCTATTCTGATGATCATGAGTGAGTGAGTGAGTGTCTAAAATGTGAAACTTTGCTTTCGCTTAACTTCGGAACTAAATGACCTACAGACTTGAAACTTTGGATTTTAAGTATGTGATTATAGTTTACTGGATGACATAAATTTCTGCGTTCTGGTATTATCCAGAGGTTCTCAAATAAGGGCCTGAAAATGCGGCGAAATGGTTCCTGTAAAGGATGGTACGGCAGTGTTTGCTTCGCGCTCGACTTGGCGGGGGCACTGCCGTGCCCCCCGATTCTAATCTAAAGAATTTCTGCAGTGGAATTGATAGTAACTTTATGCGTCAACAAGCTTATCTCACATTCTGTTGCTTATCTCAGCATTCCTTCGTCCTTCGTGTCGTGTCTTGTTCAGTGTATTGATGACTCAAATACATTTTGTATAACACAAAGAATGCAATTTAATATTTAGAAATCACTATAATTGATCATTCCTATGTTAGTCATTGAGTAGATTGGTACTGTAATAATTTACTAATAGCAGTAATATCATTGATACACTAGATGTACAACAACATCTGAAAAAGATTCACCCCACTCTAGAAAATAATGTTTATGCTGCCAATAGACTGCCGATGTACACCCACGTACCAACGTATATAATATGCAATTTGGATACAGATGATAAACCAGGGTCACATTGGGTAGCTTTATATATCGATACGAATGATGTTGGTCAATATTTTGATTCATTCGGGCGAGAACCTGTACGATATCATCTAGAGTTTTTAAAAAGAAATTGTAAAAGATGGAACTGGAATGTTGATAGGATTCAGAATGAGTGGACTTCAGTTTGTGGCGAATATTGCTTAATGTATTTGCTATATAAGTTTCAGGGATGTTAAATGCATAGTTTTGCTAGTATATTTACAGGGAACACATTGTACAACGATATTTTAGTGGATGAGATGTTTCGCTCCTATTTTATAGATAATAAGTAATAAGATTTTGTATTTTGTAAATAAAAATTTTAACAAAATTAGGTAATGTGTTTTATTGATGATTCAGATTAGTGTTGTAGATAGGAACAAAGGAGTATAATACAATAGCACTGATAAGCCGACGCACGAATAGACAATGACGGTATTCAATGAACAATAGATAAATAACAATGGGGCGCTAATGACGGTGGAGGCCCTCACCGGATGTCAATTAGATAAGAGGTAATTGATCTGAACATCTCCGGAACCGTGCATCCTACGCAAAAATGGACCGCAGATTCGTGATCAGAGCATGCCAAATCCTTTTTTTTTAGGATCGTGAGTCGACAAACGTCGTACTTGTACCACTTCTGACTCAGTGAGCCAGAACTGGTACTAACTAACTACTGTTGCTCGTGTACTGTGAAATTTATAGCAAACGCTAAGGCCCTGAAACACCACGACCCACATTTAACGAAAAAACTTAACGAATCCCATATAAAACTGGCTAAATTAACTAAATTGATTCTGCTGATCGCTAAAAACTGTTGTTTTTTTGCAGTGCACTGCTGGAGATCTAATGAATTTGAAATAAACTCATAACAAAGTGCTGAAAACGCCTACTAGCGTGTTATTTATTATTCGTCAACCGACTGCCGAACGGCGTTTTCGTCAAAAACGAGCCGCATCTTTATAGTGAGAGCACAATTTATTTCCGCATTGAATGGGCTATGCAGTCCGGAAGTTACCGTAATATCAACTTTTTATTGCTAACAAAAATGTAATTTATTTTCCTACTCCATAAATTCCGTCCATTACATTCCAAAAGTCCATTGCTGTACCTATATCACTGATAGATTTCCGCATAGGCCGTTTTGCCATAGATACCACGGTTGGCAGACGGAATGGCATCCGCATCTTTTATAATTTTGAGTTTCTACTTCACTTTTTCTTTAATTGATAAATGATCGAAACATAATAAAGAAGGTGGGATATGTATTATGCGAGTGACTATAATTCGCTTACACCACGGAAATTGTTAATTAACCCTTTAATGCATAGTGATTCTTCTTCTTTTTTTTTGGCAACATTTTTTTGGCAACATTCTTTGTTTTGGCAACATTTTCTCTTTTATGTTAAAAACTACCATAATATTTCCAACACTTTTATACACTAGCAACATTATTAGTTAACTTCTGATCGAATCATAAAAGTTTTGACAAGTTTTTTTTATTGTCATTTGTTTTTCACTGTTCCCGCCTTTTGCATCACTTCGTTTTGCAAGTTTTTGGAATTCGTGTTTTGAGAATAAATATAAAAGAAATTATATAAAAGATTGACTTCTACAAAGAACTAAGGTAAGTGTATTAAATTTATAAAACGAAACTGCAATAATATTACAAAAAAGTGTATTTTAAAACAGTGATGTAGAAATACATCATCATGCAAAATCGGTCTCTTTTAACCACTACTCTTTCGGTTACCATGTGTGAATTTATATATTTATAATCTTTTTTTTTTCTCATTTTGTGCGATCTAGAGATGATTATAAGCACATCTTAGCAAATTTCAGTTGTATGGTTTAGTTTAATCTTCTCCAATAGTATTTTATGACAGTATCAAATGCTTTCCGGAAATCAGTATAAATACTGTCAGTTTGTGTATTGGTGTCAAACGCACTAAACAAATCTGATGTGTAAGTGATAAGGTTAGTTATAGTAGTAACATTATGCAATAGGGGGTAAATAGCATCATGCACCAAACGCTCAAAAACTTTGGAAAGAATGGGCAGTATTGATATTGGTCTATAATTCATAACGTCACTTTTTGATCCATCCTTGAAAACTGGGACAATTCTTGCACTTTTCCAAATGTCAGGAAATGTTCCATCAGATAAGCATTTCTTGTAAAGATAGCACAAAGGAAGATCGATTACAAATGCAGTTACCTTGAAGAAAACACCTGGTATGTTATCCACCCCAGCGCCCTTCGATACATCTAACATTTGCAGGGCTTTACGTACCTGAGATCTAGTCACTTTGATGTTATGAATAGTAAAGTCAGATGTATTTTCAAATGGTATGCAAATATCATCAATATCGAAATCATGTGGTACAGATGATCGTTGAAACACAGATTGAAAGAATTTGCTAAATAGATCACAGGACTCTTGGACTATGAGCAATAGAACCTTTATATGTACACTACTTGGGATCTCTGAAATGTTACGGCGTTGAGATATGAACTTCCAAAAGATTAATGTTATATTTTATGCTATTTTCAACCTTCGCCATGTAAGTTTTGTAGCATTTTTCTGATACTGTTTTAAACTTTTTTCTATATATTGAGAATATATTATAATTTGAATTGTTGTTATATTTTTTCATTTTAATCCAAGCTCGATTTTTTTTCTTGAATATATTTATTATAATTCAGAATGAGTAAACCAGGCAGGATACGAAGAAGCCCTAATATACTTTTTAGGGACATGTAAATTAATAATATTGTAAATTTTTTCATAAAATAATGAAACTGCTTCCTCAGCACTTTTATTTAAAAATAAGACATCCCAATCAATGTTCACAAATTTTTGCATAATTTCATTATAGTACGCGTTTCTATAACAGTAGTTGAGATATGGTTTAAGCCGGATGTATCCATGATTTGCATCATACGCAACCGATACACAAAAAGGTGGGTGATGTTTATCCGCAGGAACAATCAATGCATTTGGTATCGGTGACAACTCACAGTCCGTTTTATTAGTGAAAAAAAGATCCAAAATACGGCCTTTGTCGTTTCTTAAGGAGTTTATTTGAGAGCAATTTAATACCGCCATAAAATTATTTATTTGTATGTGAGATTGGTTAAGATCGCTGATACAAGGATATTGCCCATAGGAATTATTATTCATCCAAACTAAGTCAGGTAAATATTTATGTTATATGTTATAACTTTGCAATTCAATATTACAGAATGTCACTTCGAGATAGAGATATAGAAGATCTGTTATCTGCTTTGGAAAGTGGTGATATTTCCGATGATGGCCTGGAAGATGATGATGATGATGAGAAACGTTTTTATAGCAATGTTCGAGAAATTATCCACGATTTAGAAGAAGAGAACATCGATACTCCCGATGATAATAACGATCCTCCACTTGTTCAAGATGAAGAGGCAGATCCTGTGCACGAGCCTGAACCTAGGCAAGGAAATCAAAATTAATTGAATTCTTGTTTCGACAAAAGAAAACTTATTTAGAAAACAGACAGTTTAGTTTTTGACGAATCTAATCTTACAGTTTATACAGCAGTCGAGGGATACTCATCCCAATTTACCTGTCCGGTAGTTGTGGTATGGTATACGGGTATGCGACCCCGGCTACCCTAGCTATTACTGTCCTATCCCTTGCCCTCATGGACGGTAATATCCTACATTTCCTATGTCCTACCCTAACTTACCTTACTCTTCCTTTTCACACCACTTATCCTTCCCGTTTTTCCTATTCCTACCCTCCGCCAATCCAACGTCAGCCGCCCGGATGGATGCATGGCTAGGGGCGAGCCTAGTCGTTAGCGTGCCACACTGCCCTGGGACCGGACGACCCCAGAATTAGGCCCGCTCGGGGGGGACAAACCTTTCCTTCGATATTCGTGGGAACGCAATGGATAATCAAAAAATTAACCAAAATGGCGGCGATATGGTTCGCCACCCATCACGTCTCGTTTCTCGCGGGGGCGAAAAGCGGCCCACGGAGAGCCGCTTCGCTACGTTGAATGTAAGAGGAGGGATGGATGGTAAGGTAGATGGAGTATGTCAGATGATGGATGAACGTTGCATTGATATTCTGTGCGTGAACGAAACCAAGAGGAAAGGATGTGACACCACGGTTCATGGCCCCTACACGGCATACTGGTCGGGAGTCCCCCAAACAAGCCGAGGCTGTCAGGGAGTTGGTGTGATTCTTTCATCTCGAATGGTTGAATGTGTGATGGAGCATGAATGTGTAAGCCCAAGACTCCTCTGGATTAGGTTAAAAGTCGGACTCACCCGCTTGTTTATCCTTGGGGTATATACACCGACGGATCTGCGTGGAGGTGGGTCACTAAAATCACAACAAGAGAGAGAGGAATTTAGGGATAGCATGAGAGAGGTCTTGAATAAATGCGGAGAGAATGAACGGATCGTAATGTTAGGGGACTTTAATGGATGAGTTGGAGTAGAGCGTGATGGGTATGAAGGAGTTCTGGGTATGTTTGGGGACGAGAGAGTGAATGACAATGGGAGAAGCCTGCTTGAAGTGTGCTTGGAATGGAATCTGTGCGTGACCAACACAATGTTTGACCACAAAAAGATCCATCTGTATACAAGAGATGAGGGTGAGTCTAGAAGTATGATTGATTTTGTAATTGTGGATGAAAGACTGAAGAAGAAAGTGCTAGACACTCGGGCATACCGCGGTGTAGGCCTCGACACAGACCACTTCCTGGTCATAGCACGAATGCGTGGCCTCTTTAAACGGTGGCGACACCGAGGGGCCGAGCCTACGAGTGTTTTGGACAGAGTAAAAGTGGAAAATCTACAAGAAGAAGAAAAGAAAGACGTGTATGTAGAGAAACTGAAAGAAAGTTTTAAAGGGATAGAAGAGATAGGAGTGATTGAAGATTTGTGGGAGACATTTAAGAAAGGGGTTGTAAATGTTGCGATTGAGGTATGCGGGTAGCTAAAAGAAGGAAAGGGAGAAAGAATGATAACGTGTGAATGGATAAAGATGTACAAAGTGTTGTGCAAGAAAAGAAGAAAGCGCGGTTGGATTGGTTAGCAACAAAAGCTAACCAAAAAGTTCAAAAGGCAACGGATGACGAGATAAAGGAAGCAAGAACGAAGTATAAAAGATTGAAAACAGCAACGAAAGAAACTGTGATTTCTTATATTTACGCGAACACTACACATTGAAATAATACTAGTTTTTACGGAATTTATCGCGTATATTTTAACTTTTTAAATACCCGACGTTTCGAACTCTTTACAGCACTCATGATCACGGGCAGGACTGAGATGTTCAACGTCCATATGTAATAGTTAACCGCGGTTACCATAGATTAAAATTTAACTTTTGTTCCGATCTATGCAGTATGAACTTATGGTATCTTGAAGTCTTGCAGTTGTATGCTTGGGTTGGGATTTAATTTTATTTATTATAGGATCCCAAGCAGATGGTAGCACCCAGCCATCTTCTCTATTGAAATTAGGATGTTTTTTGATTTCAATAGCCTCGCGAATCATCCTTGGAAGGAATCGGTGTTCTTTAGCGAGGATCTGCGGTCTATCAAATCTGATGTAGTGACGGGGGCGATCCTGTACGTGTTCACAGACTGCAGACTTCCCGGAGCGTCGATTCTTCACATCAGCTATATGTTCTTTAACGCGGGTTTTTATTGATCTTTTAGTTTGTCCTATGTAGGAGAGACCACATTCACAATCAAGCTTGTACACTCCTGCATCCTGCAGAGGGACATTACACTTGACCGATGGTAAAAACTGACCAATCTTCTTCAGCGGCTTGAAGTATGTTTTGATGGAAGCGCGCTTCAAGATGTAGCCAATCTTGTCAGTGACTCCTCTAACATATGGCAGTACAGCAGGTACACGCTCGACTGTGGCCGGCTTCACTCGTTCACTGTGACGTAGGCGCGGGACTCGAAGCTTGTTGTCATGCAAAACTTGCTTGACATGGTGGAGCTCTGCAGCCAGGTGTTTACTGTCACAGATCCCTCGTGCTCTCTGAAACAAAGATTTACCCACGGTAGCTAACTGTGAAGGATGGTTGTGAGAATCACCGTTTAAATATTTATCTGTATGGGTCTTTTTTCTATACACAGTATGGCTCGAGGTGTTATCAGGATTCCGAATTACTAACACATCTAGAAAAGCTAAGGAATTGTTTGCCTCTAACTCCATTGTGAACTGAATTTTAGAATTTATGGAGTTAAGATGGTCTAAAAATGCAGTTACTTTATCTAAAGGTAGAATTGTGAAAGTGTCGTCTACCGTCGTCCGTACCGCTTGTAGAACCTTGGATTTATGGGAGAACTAAGCAGGGCTTTCTCCTCAAAGTCTTCCATGAACATGTCGGCGACAATGGGAGATACAGGTGAGCCCATCGCCACACCATCTACTTGCTTGTAGAACTCCTCCTTCCACAATAGGTAGCCAGATGTAAGGCAGTGTCTGAGTAATACTGCATATTCTACGGGCATGTTGTTTTCTTCCAGCCTTCTAGTTGCAATTGAGATGCAGTCATCAACAGGTAAGCATGTAAACAATGACTGCACATCAAAACTGACCATAGTTTCATTGTCTGCCAGATGTAGGTCTTTAATCTCGCTGACAAAATGGTAGGAATCTTTTATGTGTGCTCTTGTATGTCCCCTGAGTGGTGAGAGTATTTTCGCTAAGTGTTGAGCCAATCTGTAAGTTGGTGAATCGATTTGGCTCACTATGGGACGTAATGGAGCATTGGGCTTGTGTATTTTTGGTAACCCATACAATTTTGGTGATTTGGCGCACGTAGGTATTATCCATTTTACGTCCAGATTTAATTTTTCGGAGTGTTTCTTTATGAGGTCACTAGTTGTTTTTAGTGTGCTATTTGTTGGGTCGTTTTTAACCTTTTTATAAGTACTTACATCCGACAAAAGTTCTTGTATTTTAAAATTATAATCTGACGTATCCATGACTACCGTGGCGTTTCCCTTATCTGCGCGGAGAATCGTAAGTTCGTGTTTATTGCGTAGGTTCTTTAACGCTATAAATTCGTCTTTGGGAAGATTCGGTTTAGGCACTGAACATCGACGTAACATAGACGAGATGTCTTGACGTATCGCCTCCAAATCTTCTTTCCGCATATTGTTTTTAAATAAACAGTCCTCGACACTACAGATAATTTCTTCGTACGGTAATTTGCGGGGTGTAATTGCAAAGTTGAGGCCTTTGGATAAAACCCTAATTGTTGCATCATCCAGTGTTTGTTTTGACAGATTATAGAGCGCGATTAATCTATGATCTGTGTTTGTCAATGGTTGCTTTCGGTTCTGGCATTGATTCAGATGTTTGAACCATGGTCAGTTTTGATATTCAGTCTCTATTTACATGCCTACCTGTTGAAGACTGCATCTCAATTATAACCAGGAAACTAGATGAAAATAACATGCCACCAGAATATGCAGTACTACTAAGACATTGCCATCTATTGTGGAAGGAGGAGTTCTACAAGCAAGTAGATGGTGTGGCGATGGGCTCACCTGTATCTCCCATTGTCGCCGACATATTCATGGAAGACTGAGGAGAAAGCCCTGCTTAGTTCTCCCATAAATCCAAGGTTCTACAAGCGGTACGTAGACGACACTTTCACAATTCTACCTTTAGATAAAGTAACTGCATTTTTAGACATCTTAACTCTATAAATTCTAAAAATTCAGTTCACAATGGAGTTAGAGGCAAACAATTCCTTAGCTTTTCTAGATGTGTTAGTAATTCGGAATCCTGATAACACCTTGAGCCATACTGTGTATAGAAAAAAAGACCCATACAGATAAATATTTAAACGGTGATTCTCACCACCATCCTTCACAGTTAGCTACCGTGGGTAAATCTTTGTTTCAGAGAGCACGAGGGATCTGTGACAGTAAACACGTGGCTGCAGAGCTCCACCATGTCAAGCAAGTTTTGCTTGACAACAAGCTTCGAGTCCCGCGCCTACGTCACAGTGAACGAGTGAAGCCGGCCACAGTCGAGCGTGTACCTGCTGTACTGCCATATGTTAGAGGAGTCACTAACAAGATTGGCTACATCTTGAAGCGCGCTTCCATCAAAACATACTTCAAGCCGCTGAAGAAGATTGGTCAGTTTACCATCGGTCAAGTGTAATGTCCCTCTGCAAGATGCAGGAGTGTACAAGCTTGATTGTGAATGTGGTCTCTCCTACATAGGACAAACTAAAAGATCAATAAAAACCCGCGTTAAAGAACATATAGCTGATGTGAAGAATCGACGCTCCGGGAAGTCTGCAGTCTGTGAACACGTACAGGATCGCCCCCGTCACTACATCAGATTTGATAGACCGCAGATCCTCGCTAAAGAACACCGATTCCTTCAAAGGATGATTCGCGAGGCTATTGAAATCAAAAAACATCCTAATTTCAATAGAGAAGATGGCTGGGTGCTACCATCTGCTTGGGATCCTATAATAAATAAAATTAAATCCCAACCCAAGCATACAACTGCAAGACTTCAAGATACCATAAGTTCATACTGCATAGATCGGAACAAAAGTTAAATTTTAATCTATGGTAACCGCGGTTAACTATGACATATGGACGTTGAACATCTCAGTCCTGCCCGTGACCATGAGTGCTGTAAAGCGTTCGAAACGTCGGGTATTTAAAAAGTTAAAATATACGCGATAAATTCGTAAAAAACTAGTATTATTTCAAGAAAGAAACTGTGTCTAGAAAGAAAGAAGAACGAAAAGATGATTTCGATAAGAGGCTCACTGAAGATTTCCAGTCAAACATTAAGTTTTTCTGGAAAACCATCAAAACAGCCAGAGGAAAAACTTCTACCTCGGAGCTGAGTACAATCAGGAGTCAAGATGGGAGCATTATAAAAGGAGAAGAATGTGTGTTAAAGAGATGGAAAGAGTATTTTGAAACTTTGTTTGAAAGAGAGGAAGTGCAGGTACAGCATCTGCCACCTTCCACGGAAACGAATATAAATGTTGATGAAAATGAGATAAGCATGGATGAAATAGTGAAAGCGTTGAAATGTATGAGATTAGGTAAGGCTGCAGGGTATGACAGGATTACCGTCGAGATGCTGAGGGCTGGACAAGGCCTGGTGGCTAGTCAGCTCTACCGCCTTTTCAATCTGTGCTGGCGAAATGGGCAAGTGCCGGGAGACTGGTGCAAAGCCGTAATCGTGCCATTGTATAAGGGAAAAGGGTCACGGCAGGACTGCATAAATTACCGTGGTATAAGCCTTCTTAGCGTCGTCGGTAAATTATATGCGAAAGTGTTGATTGAAAGGGTTGTGAATGAAACAGACGAGAAAATATGGGATGCACAAGCGGGATTTAGAAAGGGAATGGGATGTGCGGATCAGGTCTTTTCCTTGCGGTGCATAGCCGAAAAGTGTTTGGCTAAAAACAAGAAAGTCTACTGCGCCTTCGTAGATCTAGAAAAGGCCTATGATAGAGTGGTGAGGAATGAATTGTGGTCAGCACTGTCCATGAACGGTGTGAGCAGTGTCCTCATACGAGCATTGCAATCTCTTTATAGGGATTCTAGTGCTTGTGTAAGGACAAATGGGGCATACACTGAATGGTTTAATATCGAAAAAGGTGTTAGACAGGGATGTGTAGCGTCACCGTGGCTGTTTAATCTGTTCATGGAACAATTGTTTGACAGATTTAAAAGAGAATGAAAGTGGGTTGAGAATGAATGAGTTACTCGTCAAATGTTTTCTCTATGCTGATGACCAAGTATTACTTGCGTCTTCGGCCCAGGAGTTGCAGGAGATGGTAACTGCTATGAGTGGAGCTTTTGTTAGAAAGGGAATGAAGATGAATGTAAGGAAGACGAAAGTGATGATGTTTGAAAAAGATGAGGCAGTGACAGACTGCAATATCGTGATTGAAGATGAACAAATTAAACAGGTGAAAGAGTTTGTGTATCTGGGGTCAAAGTTTACAAGAGATGGAAAGTGTGAGAGTGATATCGAAAGAAGAGTGAATGCAGGAAACATGGTGAATGGAGCTTTGCACTCCTTTATGAGCAGTCGGAAAGTGTCTAACAAGGCTCGTTTGGCTGTGCATGAGGGGGGTGTTGGTTCCGACACTCATGTACGGAAGTGAAAGTTGGGTATGGCAGAAGAAACATGAAAGTAGAATAAATGCAGTTGAGATGAGAGCATTAAGAAGTATGATAGGAGTTAAACTGAGTGACAGGATAAGAAATAGTGAGATAAGGAAACGTTGTGGTCTGAAAGAAGATGTAGTGACAAAAATTGAGAAAGGTATGCTGAGATGGTTTGGCCACATCGAGAGAATGAATGAAGAACGATTGACGAAAAAAGTGTATAAGGCGAGTGTGAATGGAAGCGCTGGAAGGGGTAGACCTAGGCGGACTTTTCTAGACCAAATTAGGGACGTCTTGAAAAAAGGCCAGGTTAAGAGTACCCTAAACCGTAGAGCATGTATGAAGGGAATAATGAAAGTAGACGAAGCGAAACAAGTATGTAAGGATCGTAGCAAGTGGAAAGAAGTGGTCTCTGCCTACCCCTACGGGAAAGAGGCGTGATTATATGTATTATATGTACTAATCTTACACATAAAGCCAGTGTTACAGACCCTGAGATAGCTGACATCGATACACCATACAGGTGCTTCCTACATTATTTCACGGCAGAATTCATTAAAAAAATAGTAAATGAAACAAATTTGTATGCCACGCAACAAAATCCTACAAAATCATTTTCAATAAGTGACACCGAACTAAAAAATATCTAGGTATCTTATTATTTATGTCTGTTGAACATTTTCCCAGTGTCCGCCCCTATTGGAATGAGAAGTTTGGTTACGACCCTGTTAGGAAAGTTATGCCAGTTAACCGTTTTGGGGCTATTAGAAGACAATTACACTTCAATATAATATCTGACAATAACAAACATCTTTCAAAGGAGCATCCAGACCATGACCGCTTACATAAGATTAGACCTGTAATAGACCAGCTGAATAAAACTTTTTCTTCAATAGCCATAGACCAGCGCCTTTCCATCGATGAGCAAATGTGCTCTACGAAAATTTCCCACTTTTTAAAACAGTATATGCCAAATAAACCCCACAAGTGGGGTTACAAACTATTTGTTTTATGTAATCTCATGGGCTATGCATATCGTTTTGAAGTATATTCTGGCCAAGAAGACAAAAGAGACCGACAAGCAGACGAACCAGATTTAGGCGTAACAAGCAACGTTGTACTGCGATCGCCTAGAGTTGTTCCAAGGATGGTCAATCACATCATATTTTTTGACAATTTTTATACCTCATTGCCTTTGATGTTTCATTTGGCTAAACGAGGCATTCACAGCGTTGTAACTGTACAGCAAAATAGGCTCCCAAATTGTCGACTCCCTGACAAAAAGGAATACATGAAGGCGAATGTTTCAAGAGGTACATATTAAGAAAAAATTACTCACTACGATGGTGTCGACTTTTCAGCAACTGCATGGAAAGACAACAAAGTTGTCACGCTTTTATCTACATATGTAGGTGCTGAACCTGCCACAACAGTCGGTCGGTACGATAAGAAGACTAAACAAATTATAGATACACCCTGTCCAAAGATAGTCGAAGAATAAAACATGCACATGGGGGGAGTGGACTTGATGGACAGCTACCTGGGACGCTATCACATAAAGAGCCGAAAATGGTACATGCGCCTCTTTTACCATATTTTAGACCTCGCCGTTATAAATTCGTGGGTTCTTTTGAAAAAAAATTGCACAGCAAAAGGTATTCCTGAGAAACAGCTTCCAAATCTTGGAGAGTTTCGTAACATCTTGGCCGATGCACTTTGTAACGTGGGAACATCAAATGGTGCTAAAAGAGGGCGTCCCTCTAATGTGGACTTGGAGCGCGAACATGCCAAGAATCCAAAGGGTCCGGGTCATCCAGTCCCCTGCAAGGATATACGAATCGATGGAGTCGAACACTGGCCTATCTTTTCAAAAAGATTACGGTGCAAAATTCCACAGTGCAAAGGTACTACGCAGTGGGCATGTTCAAAGTGTAACGTACCTCTGTGTCTGAACGCACGCAATAATAACTCGCATACTAGCAATAAAAAGTTACTAGTAATTGCATAATGATGTATATCTACATCACATGTTTTTTTCTAAATATATAAGTAACTATATGATTTTTAATAATAAGATTTTTTCCTTAATATTTGTACTTTTTTCATCTGTCTATATTTTTTTAAAGCTAGTAAAAAAACCATGCATTAAGGTGAAACCTACAGCCTGTTCCCAGCCATTCTCCTGCAAGATGGCGCTGAAGTCAACATTTTTAGTTTATTTGGATTTTTGTGTAATTGGAAAATTATTAAGTCGTAGGAGTAGACTTAGCGGTTATCGGATATTACATTTTATTGTAATAGGTCATATCATTGCCTCAAAATCCACGCAATTCGACATTAATTTTGATTATAACATCTATCATTGAATATAGGGTCGTTTACACACACAGACGTATCCCTACGTTTACGAAGCTAGAACACTAGATATATAATCGGAATCTCGGAAACGGCTCCAACGATTTTCATAAAATGTCGTTTTGTCCCCGTTTTCAGGCAATGAAAAACTGCTACAATATAAGAAGGTAAATTTCAACACTATAATAATGATCGTAATAGCTCAAGTGGATAACGCACTGTCGGGAAATCGTAGTTCCCTGGTTCGCGTCTTGTCTTAGGATTGACTTTTTTTTCAAGTTCCCTTCTTTTGTGAGAAAATCTATTATTTCGAGACCTTTTTGTAGTATTTTTTTTAAAAATACGAAAATTTTATTACACTCATGATTTTTCATTTTAATAACCAGTTCAGTTTTTTTCTATTATGTCGGTATGAAAGAAATAATTCAAAAAATCGTTTACTTGGATGAACAGGGTATCAACTCAACAATTCGACTTTTGACTTATATACGGAGTCTTAATAAAAAAATCGAGATCTTTCTAACAAACAAGGTCTTACAACGATCGGAGGTAAAATGGCGCGAAATTTAAAAGTTGTAAAAGTTTCCTAAATTTTATTGAAAAAATATTATTCCTCAATATTACAGAACTTTTTATGAAATTCTGTAATATTTATTGATTTTCGTTGTTTTTGTACTGGTTAATATTACTCTCATTTCTTCAAAGATAAGCTAAAAAGTTACGAAGCCATTTTATGGTATATTTTAATGTTATTTTTACCTAAAAGACTATAATAACTATAATAATAATGCCAAATATTTTGTACTGAATCGTATTGCAAGCTAATTTTGAAGATAATACAAATTCTACTGTAAAAGACTGTTAAAAGCGTTTTTTGTGATTATGAAGAGTTACATAATGTTGAATTTAAAACAATGAAGTAAGCGACAGTAGCCTAATGGCAGGGTGCTGACCGCGAACTCAAAAAGGTCGTGGGTTCGAATCCACCATTCGACTACTGGCGTGAACCACTCGTAACACAAGCAATTTAAGCTTACTACGAGTGGTTAAGGGGAATATTAGTAATGTTTGTAGCATTGTTAATATTCTTTAAAAAAAATATGTACTTACGTACTAGAACGGCTATTTCAAACAAAAAATGTGCGCTACTCTGTGCTTGCACGGTTGGTTTTTTTATCATAGAATAAACATAGGTAGAATGACCCGTAGGTAATAGTAGGTCGTACTGTTAAATAGGTAAATTGTATCGAGAACAATTTTTAAATTTTGACATTTATTTTGTATTTTATATTTGCTTATTTAATATAATATTGTATAATAGTATATCACAATTACATTTTAATGATATTTTTATCTGAATATATATAAAAGGTATTTATGTCAAATATAAAAATAACATACTGAATGTATATTTACAAAACTTATTAATATAACATTATAATTACAAATATATTTATTTAAATTAGTATAAGAGTCGTTTATTAACGCTGGGCACGCGAGAGTTAAAATGTACAAAATGTACTGTATGTATAAAATAAAAGAAAAATTAGCAGATTTAAATATAAAAAATTTAGTCTAATTATGATAACTTATATATGTTTCTACAAAAATGTGTGTAATAATATATTCGTCCTATACTTAAGTACCTACAGAAATGTCGCATCTGAACAAATTAATTTCATAATCTATATTCCATGACACGACATGGCGTCTTAGGAATAATTTGTTTTACTATTAAACTATAATACTTTTTACTGAATAAGTATCTTATTAACCGATGAAAAGTAATTCCTTGGTTTTTACTGACATTTCTTGAATTATTTGTGCAATATCTAAGTACACACGACGGCATATTTTTATCAAGAAATTACTTTTTAAATCAACACAACACGTGACAACTCTACAAGTGCCTAGGAGTGACTGATTAAAGTGCGGTGTAAGCACCGCAGTTGAATGGAACATAGTAGCTGAATGCAGTGTCGCCTCTAGTACATAGTACATAATAGCTCAATGGTTTATAATAATAATTTTATGTGGTAGTTATGTTTTCTTTATTTGGTATTCGTTATTTTAGTATAAGATTAATGATGCAAAGCATATTGTACTGATTCCTATTATTGTAGGTACTAACTAATGTCAATGATGAAAAGAGTTTATTTTATAATACCTAACTAATTAATTTTGTAGTTTTCATACTTTTCGATGATCTTTGTTATATAAAATAAGATTAATGGTATTATTTGACTGATTCCTATTAGTTACTCTGCCAATGTCAACCACGACAAAATATTAATAATACAGAAAGACATGGTGTCAAGAAATTTGGTTATTGTAATGATTCTTAAGATTACTACGAGTTATATAATTTGTACGAAACAATAAAGACTTTTTATAACTATATTTTGGTTTTCAATCAGTATTATCTTTGAACTAGTACCAAAAATTTGAGAAACAAGGTAATATAATAGATTTTTTTTCCAAAACATTATAATTAAATTATTAATGTGAAAATAAATACTAACGGTAAAATAATTACTAATTACAACAAATTTCACAAAAAATATATGGATAAATATATAGTAATATATAATTGAAAAGGAACCAGACTCGGGACAGAGAGAGGTCGTTTGATCCGGCTGGTTCAGCAGCGGATTTGCTAACCTCCTATGACACCTACGTTGGGTTCGGGAACAACGTATGTGAACCCCGCAATGGAGTAACACACATGGGCGTCGACCTCTTCCTTTTCTTCAAATAGGTTCAGGCGGGGATTACGGGTCTTCCGAAGTCGTCCCGGTCCCAACGCCTTAATTCTTCAATATGTGCCGCAATAGCGACACAGTGGACTGTATTTTAAAGGATTCCTTGGGAATAAAACAGTAATTATCTTCAAACCGTTCCGTGAGAGAGTAATTACTTTCCTTATCACTTCCCTATGCACTTTTTCTTTCTTGATTATACTGCTGGTCCTGAACTGTCCCGAACTATCCCGAAGTTTTCCGAACTTTCCCCGAACTTTCCCCGAACTTTCCCGAAGTTTCCCGAACTTTCCCGAAACTTCCCCGAACGATTTGCAAGAAAACTCGTTTACTGAGCTACCCCAAAGCTATACGCGAAAGAGAACCGCGCCCTCTGTGCGATTACACCACTTAATTACATCAATCTGTACTATCACTCTCTCACGGTTTGCCCAATATCTTTATTTGTATAAGACATACATTTATACATTTTACTTATAAAGATAGCACAAAAAAAATCTATACTATGATATACATTACATTTTTATATCACAAAAAACCTTTTATTTATTCAACAAAATATGCCCATTTTACAACATATGCACCAAGTTAGAATTCTTAAATATCTAACATATAAGGTTGAAACAATGTTCTTCACTTGAAATTATAAATATCTTAACTAATACAATAGTTTAATTTACATTTTTCCTACACATTTTACTATTTAAAACACTTTTAAATTTCTTACACAAAACTATCAATATTTCACTAATCCAAAGGAATTTTCACATGAAAATAACACAGAATTCTCCTATTTTGCTCATACAGTCAATCTGAAATATTTTACAAGTCAATTTTACATAAATTGCTGAAATTTGCAAATATTTAAATTTCTACTTATTTTGATCTCCTAAGTTAACGTGCGGCTATGAACTCACGCTATTTGAACAACTAATTCTCACACGTCTTTCAATTGTCGTAAAAAATGGCAAATTTAGCACACACGGGTATCAACCAATACTAGGTGAACAACTGATTCTACACGACTCTCAAATTGTAGGAAATTATTTCTAACTAGATTCTTATCAGATACCATGTCTCTTATCAGATAACATAAACAAAATATTTCATGAGTCAATACATTGAAAATAGTCATTTTGTTTTCATACAAAACGTATCAAACTCATATAAGATAATTCTTATGCAATTAATTTCCATTAATTCTATTTATTCACAAAGTGATCATTTCGACCGGGGAACAAATCCTGGTCTCTAACTTTATTTTAATATTCCTTTAAATTAACATTATTGGAAAGGTGATTTCAACCGGGGAACTGAACCCGAAAACATAATTTATATCTTAAAAATTCCCTATATGAATTCGTTAAGAAAATATTACTAAGAAAACGACAAACTAGTCCGGCCTGGGAATCGAACCGAAGACCTTCAAATCATTAATTCGATGTTTCTTTAAGGTTCAACTAAGTGTTTTCTTATTAGAATATTATTGCTCGATAATTTGTTTTTAGAAGCTATTCGTAATCGGTTAACTAATAAATTGAAATATTCTTATAGACGCGTCGCCAACAACCTCCCCCCCGTTCATGAGCACCATCATTTGAGAGTCGTCGCGGGTACCAGGACTATTATTCTGGATGTAGGTCTCCTCAAGATACCTGTGCTAGTAATGACGTCAACCACTCTGGTGTGACCGTCTGGTCCCGGTAGCGTCCTATTAATCTTGCCTTTCGGCCACGTATTTCGTGGCAACGAATGATCTATTATCAAGACAATATCACCTTCTTTAGGTTCCATGAACCTTCCGTTATTACCCGTTCGAGGTATTAAAGTAGGCATGTACTCTTTCAGCTATCTCGTCCAAAAATGGTCGGCTAACCTCTGGGCGGATTTCCAATTGAGTTGACCCGTCAGATGTTGCTCTAAAAATAATCCAGGTGGTCGATCACCACATGAGCGTCCGAGTAGAAAATTATTGGGTGTCAAACCCTCTTCAGGACTATCCATACTGAATGTTACCAGAGGTCTGGAATTTACAGTATGCTCTGCTTCTAAAAGCAACGTATGCAGAACCTCCTCTCGCGGGCTCCTTTCTTTGAGCGTAGCGGTCAACGCAATTTTAATCGATCTTACTAACCTTTCCCAAGCGCCACCCATGTGCGGTGTTCCCCGAGGTATAAATTTCCATTTCATATATTTTCTAAATGACTCGTTTTTCATGCCCTCATAGCACTCTTCGCATGCTTGCAATAATTCTTTATGTGCAGCTTTGAAATTCGTCCCGTTATCGCTGTATATAACGGCTGGTTTTCCTCTTCTGGCGATAAATCGCCTCAACGCCATTATCATTGACGCTGGTGTCAATGAGGCTGCTAATTCCAGATGTACTGCTCTGGTGGTCAGACACGTGAATAAAACACCCCAACATTTTTCGTGTCGCCTTCCTATAGTCACACTCATAGGTCCGAAATAATCTACGGCTGAGCATGTAAAAGGTGGTTCATGATGAGCTATTCTCTCCAGAGGAAGATTTCCTTGTGGCACGTTCTGCGGCTTTGACCTGTATGTCCTGCACCACTGACAGTGATGTGACACACTTCGTACTACGTTACGCAAGTTCAAGACATAAAATTTTTGGTTCACCTCATTCATCACCATCTGGTGATTGGCGTGTCCAAAATAATGATGAACTTCTCTAATCATCATTTTAACGATTTCGTGTTTACCGTCTAATACGACAGGTTTTCTACTTTCCTCAGTCAAATTAGACTTGAAAGGTAAACGCCCATTTAAACGGAGTAAGTTATCTTCTCCTATTTCCATAGATAATTTACTTAAGCGTGAACTTCTTTCAACGCTTTTGCCTGCTTTCAAGCGTTTTATTTCCGAATGGAAACACTTGTCTTGAACGAACTTCCAAATTAATAATTCAGCTCTTTTTAAGAGCGTTATGTCCAACGCGCCATCGGGTCCTTTAACCGACTTTGCTAAAATTTCGTTGGAACACATAACCGACTTTTTAGCTGTGTTGTCGGGTCCTTTAACCGACTTTCTTAAACTCTTGAATTTATCTACCACTTGTAAGGTGCATGTAGTTGCACCAAGGAATTTCTTTTAACGGCTCTTGCTTTCTTAGCGCGTTTACGCTTTTCGGCGATTTTTCTTCACCCGTTTCTAAGCTATTTATGGTGCCCACTTGTTTTGGCCATAAATCGGGACTTGTCCTGAGGAATTCAGGTCCTTGAAACCAGCGATGACTTACGTCGCTCTTATGTTTATTCTCAATTTTACTTAAAACCTCGGGTCGGTTGCTAGCCCATCCCCTCAGTTGGAAAGAAGCACGTTTATGTAATTCATACATATCGTTTACTATTCTTTCGGCCGTCGTCACGTCGGGAAATGCCTGTAGATAGTCATCCATATAAAAATTGCTTTCCGTCGCGGAAGCTGCTTCTGGATAGATATGTGCGTTATCCTGCGTATTTCTATTCTTCACATATATAGCGATGCATGGTGATGACGCCGCTCCAAATATGAGTGACGTCATTCTATACTCTTCCGGTGGCGCGTCACGATTGTGCCGCCATAAGAATCGAAGGCTGTCCCTGTCTTCTTCCCGAATTTTCACTTGCAGGAACATTTCTTTAATGTCTGCCATCACTGCCACGCTTCCTTCTCTGAATCGTAGCAGAACGCCAAATAACGACTTCAATAAGTCCGGTCCGGTTAACAATGCATCATTGAGACAACGTCCGCCCGTCCTTGCGACGGCGTCGAAAACTATTCTTATTTTCCTTTTTTGTGGATGAGTCACTGCGAAGTGAGGAAGATACCACGTGCGTGGGGAAATGGAAATATTGTTCGCTTTCTCCGCGTAACCGTTAACGATGAGATTTTCAATTTGCTTCTCATATTCTTTTTTCAACTCGCTATTTTTATCGAGCTTCCTTTCGATATTAAACAGGAGACTTTCAAACTGCGCTCTATTCGACGGCATGCACTCATTATCTGTGCGCCATAACAAAGCAGTCTCGTACCTATTATTAGGTATACGACGTACCGTTTTGTTCAAAATATTTAAAGCTCGTTCTTCTGGGTCGTTCGTGGGCTTTCGCGCAGACACTCCCAGAGATTCCAAACTAAAATAATTCTTGATTAACTTCTCCATGTCCTCCTCCTTCTTGGTGGAAATGTGATTAACAATCTTGATTGGTTTAACGCCACCCGATATGTGACCATGTAAAACCCATCCAAGTTTGGTGAGTGATGCTACAGGTAGGTTCTTACCTCCTGAAATTAATTCACGAGTAACTATGAGATGCCAATTGTTCTGACCAATTAATATGGTAGGTCTGGACCTCTCATAAATCAACTCGTCCTTAATCGGTGTCAAATGAGAACACCGTTGCAATAATTCTCGGCTTACTGACTGCGGAGAAAGGTTAAGTGACTTAATTGTTTGTACACTTATCTCCTCTAAGTCTTTCGAGAAAATGCCTTTTATTTTAACGTTTAAGCGATACGAACTGTCGTCGTTAATTCGCTTACCTCCTATGGCTTCAATACGTAATTCTTCTTTGCGTCCGCGAGGCGCTAACTTCTGAGCCACCCACTCCTCTATGAGTGTCATGGTTGATCCTTCAACCAGAAGAGCTGTGGTCTTGACCTTTCCTTTAGGTCCATACAACTCGACCGGTATAATTTTTAGATATGCACATGCCAGTGCATTCACTGTATTAACAGTTGTAATTTGTGCTTCTTTACCCCCCTCATCCCCTTGCGGCGAGGTATTTTTATTGGGGTATCGATGTAGCATTCGATGATATGCCATTCTACATCCCTCTACACCACATTTTTTTCGCTCTGCACTCTAACCTCCTATGGTTAGGTGACAAACATTGGAAACATACTTTCGCCTTTTTTAACCGCTTCCCATTTTTCGCGATTATTCATATCCCTAAATTTGTAACAACTCACTATAGAGTGTTCCTTGTTGCATATAACACACTTATGTGTTACCCGACTTACAGGCTTATCCTGGGTTATCATAACCACTTGTCGGTTGTGCCCTTTATTATTTCGGCGTTCATAACGCTCGCTCTTAAAACGGTTGCGTACAGACCCCTTTGCAGTGTGTACAGTTTGCTTCCTGAATTCAGGACCTTTCCGCTTTTCAGGCACATTTTCATTGCTTAAGGACGTTCCAAATTGTTCACTCAATGAATTCAAAAATATGGCCATCTTCTGTAACTCTGGCTCCAAAGGATGCTGAGCTCGATATTCGGACCATTTAAATTTAATCATAGTTCCAAGTTTCTCCACTATACGGCGTACTAACTCCGGTGAGTATAAATACTGTGGTTGGTTCAACGCTTGTATTGCAGCAACCACGTTCGTAATGCGATTTGCAAATCTTGGCATACGCTTTACATTCTCGATTTCGGCTAGAATGAGCATCTCAACCCTACCGAATCTTCTTTCGAGAGCGTTCATTATTTCTTCAGGTTCACACAAAGTAAACAACAATGACTTAACCGCTTCCTTAGCGGTGCCCTTTAATGCCCTCCTAAGGCGTGCGACATTCTGCACCCCTGAAAATTGGCTTCTTGTGTCTTCAAACACCGTTTTGAAAATTATCCATTCACCCGGATCTCCATCGAAGACCGGTAATTCCTGGAGGAAATGAAGCTGGGAAGACTTATCTTTTCCCGCTATCTTTATTGCACTCACAATCGCTTCGGTCAATTCTGACACCACACTCGCGTGTGCTTTCTGTGCATTTCCTAGGTTGCGCTTGACCTCCGCCCCTTTGCGGCGTGATCCCTTACACGCTCCCTTATCAGTAATGTCGGGTTGCGTTACACTAACCGGCGCGCTCATTATGGTCTGTTGAACCCAACTCCTCACGAAAGGTTCCACCTGAATATTCCGCTCTTCATCATCCTCACTCGAGTCAATCTCCTCTTCTCGGTTGAGACGTGTCAACTCCAATTGAGACTTGGCTAATGCAGCAGCTGCCTGGGCTCGTTCGAGCTCTGAGCGTTCGAATTTAATCCGCGCCTCTAATTCGGTTTTCAGCCTCGCCGATCGCGATGACCTACTACCTCTCTGTGACCCTTTGTCACTAGTGTGCCCGATTACTGTTCTTAACGATGCCGCTTCTTCGGTCCCTTGACCTACTTTTTCGACTATCGTTTCACTCCTGGATATAACGGATTTCTGTGCGGTGCTGGTCTGCGTACCACTGGTGTCCGTCCTGTTGCTTGTCGTTGCCACGGACGCCCTTGAGTTCCACGTGCATGTGGACGTATCGGTGGTGGCTCCACTTGAAGGAGTTGCCCCACTCGAAGCAGTAGCTGTGGTCGCTCCAGATGATTCCACCTCTTTAGCCTTTCTTGAGAGCCCTGTTCTTGTCCTGCTTCCCTCGCTCCTCTCTGTCTGGTCTTGTGCTTTCTTCATCTTGCAGGAAGTTGATTGTTGGCCTACGGTCCCTAACTATCCCTACGGTTCCTACAAGCCCTTACCTATAACCCTTCTACACCCCAACTTAACCCCACTACCCCTTCCCCCCCTTTATCTCCCAACCCTACTGTAGTGTATTTCGTAAATAAGACACGGGTAAGCGGATTGACGGTTTATTCGTGACTGTTCGACGAGTCTTTTACTATCAATCACTTATATATTTAATGTACCCTCATTACAATCCCCCCCTTAATTAAGACTTACAATTAGTTATACATATAAGTATTTTGTACTATACTGTTATACAGATAAGGAAAAAAAAATCTTGAAACTATTTAAAAAAAAAGAAGTATATAAAAATAATATAGTGCGATGGTAACTACTCTTTATAGCGGGGGGTGGGGGTGGGGGGGGGGTTATCCAAACGGCACTTGCGTATCGGCCGGAAGACCTGGGGCGGCGTTGCGGGCGGCACAGGCGACGTATGAGCTGATGGAGCACGAAGTGTTGACGTTTCCCTTGCCGTATCTAAGCAATCACTCTTATCTATTATTTCATTTCCTTTCGGTGCTTTTGATTTCCTCCCGGTGTCTGTTACGGCAGGGATTATTCTAGGCGCATTAATTTCCTCTGCACCGGAGCAAGACAAAGACTCGGAACTCGAATTTGGCTGACTATTACTACTACGGGGACAAATCAGTGAACTCCTAATTCTACGTTTTAGCTGGTCGATATGCTTATGTGACTCCTTACCTATAGTTTCTAAAACTTTGTAGTCCGTTACGCCCAAACGTTGCGTCACTTGTCCGGCTGCCCACTTGTCGCTCCCCTGATATTGGCGAAGCCATACATCATCACCCGGCTGCAGGCCACGTTCACCAGTGGGAGCGTTCTCTTTCTGGTTTATTTGAGTTTTAATAATTTTATTCTCAATATCCGGTCTAAGTACGTCTAATTTAGTACGTAATCTTCTTCCTAACATGAGAGAAGCGGGACTTTCGCCCGTAGTACAATGTTCGGTATTTCGATAATGCAATAGGAAAGTGTTTAAAAATAAATTTATATCTTTATTTTCCCTCACTGCCTTTTTAATAACTTTCTTGACAGTGCGTACTGCGTTTTCCGCGGCACCGTTTGAAGCCGGGTGGTACGGTGCGGTGAAAACATGTTGTATACCATTATTTACCTAGCAAAAACTTCGGAAAGTTTAACTATAGTGTGGCTAGCTGCTGTACTCGGTACATAAAAAACCTCTAGCCATTTAGTTCTGGCATCAATTATTACTAAGTATATTTTATTGAAAATTGGCCCTAAAAAATCTATGTGTACACGAGACCAAGGCTTAGCTGGCCACGGCCACGAGCTTGGAGTGTGCCGTTGGGGCGCGTCCGCCTCGGCCGCGACACACGACGCACGCTCGGCACATCGTTTCGATTGCCTCATCGATCCCCGGCCACCACACATAGCTTCGAGCTACCGCCTTCGTTTTGACGATTCCCATGTGGCATTCGTGGAGTTCGTTTAACACCCTACCCCTGCAATTCTCCGGTATGACTACTCTATGACTCCAGATGATACACCCTAGTTCTTCGTATAGTTCCTTTTTTCGGTTAAAATACGGTTGCAATGATTTGAGCTCATTATCGGTGGGCCAATCTTCTCTTAAGTATAGTATAATTCTACCTAAAATCGGATCGCGCTGGGTTTGTTTTTTTAATTTCATTATAATCCAGTAACATTTCACTTTGAGCGAAATGTAAATACGTTTGTTCAGGTAAATCTAAACATTCGTTCTTTGTGGATTGAACCGATACCGGTAGACGAGATAAGCCGTCCGCACAGTTCTGTTTACTACTAACGTACTCTATGTCATAAGAGTAAGCGGATACCGTAATTGCCCAACGCTGCAATCGGCTCGCAGCCATTAAAGGAATGCCATGTTTTGGGCCAAAAATACTGACAAGCGGCTTGTGATCAGTACGTAAGGTGAACCGTCGACCATACAGGTATTGATGCAATTTTTTTATGCAAAAAACAATTGCTAAAGCCTCGCGATCAATTTGTGAATAATGTTTCTCCGCGTCCCTGAGAGCTCTCGACACATAGACCACCGGCCGCTCGCTTCCCGCTGCGCCGGCGCACGGCTGAGTGAGCACGCCTCCTATACCTCGAGCGCTCGCGTCACACGTCAGTATTAACGGTTTGTTTTGATCGTAATGCAATAATACTTCAGCACTGGTTAAGACTTTTTAAATTTTTTTAAAAGAGTCCTCGCAACTTCTGTCCCAGTCCCAAGTAACACCCTTTTTTAATAAGCCGTAAAGTGGGGCTAAGGTAGTACTTAAATTTTTAATGAACTTAGCGTAAAAATTGACTAATCCTAAAAATGATCTTAAGTCTGAAACGTCCTTGGGGCGCGGAATTTTTACTATAGCAGCTACCTTGTCAGGATCAACTTTAATGCCATCTTTTGAAATAATATATCCTAAATACTTGACCTCGTCCACCATGAATAAACATTTGTCTTTCCTCAGCTTCATTCCGTTTCTATGTAATCTACTAAGCACCTTCTCCAATATTTGTAAATGCTCTCTTTCATTAGAAGAACCTATTATTATATCGTCTAAAAATACTTCTACCTTTTCGATATCGTGAAAAAGATTTGACATTATACGCTGGAAAATTCCTGGACTTGATGACAACCCATATACTAGCCTGTTATACGTAAATAAGCCCCCATGTGTATTTATAACGGTAAGGTTTTTAGAGTTATCTAGTTCGATCTGATTGTAGGCTTGTGACAGATCGATCCTAGGCAAGGGAAACGTCAACACTTCGTGCTCCATCAGCTCATACGTCGCTTGTGCCACCCGCAACGCCGCCCCAGGTCTTCCGGCCGGTACGCAAGTGCCGTTTGGATAACCCCCCCCCCGCTATAAAGAGTAGTTACCATCGCACTATATTATTTTTATATACTTCTTTTTTTTTAAATAGTTTCAAGATTTTTTTTCCTTTCCTGTATAACAGTATAGTATAAAATACTTATATGTATAACTAATTGTAAGTCTTAATTGAGGGGGGAGGATTGTAATGCCCTTTGCCCTACGCGCTCAAGGACCGCGTGGATGCTGAGCTGGATGCGATGCTTCGGGAGGGGGGTTATTGAAC